AAAGATGCTTGTAGGGGCGGTGGGGTAGCCTAATGGTTAAAGCGTTGGCTCGTCACGCCGAAGACCCGGGTTCGAATCCCCACATGGGTACAATGTGTGAAGCCCATTTCTGGTGTCCCCCGCCGTGATGTTGCTGGAATATTGCTAAAAGCGGCGTAAAACCAAACTCAGTCAGTCAGTCAGTCAGAGATGCTTGTTGTTACTGTGCCTGCTGCTTGGCATTAAGAAGATTATACAAGGACTGGTCGGCTCGGGGTCAGTATACCGTGTCTGAGTGGGGTATCTATACAAACATGCAGCATGGTATCTCAGTGGACTAGCACTATAATACCAGCATTGGTCCGGACTAGAACAAGCATCCGCAGTGAAAACATCGTGAACGCAACCTTAGACCCATTTCACTGTCGACAAGCTACAGATAACTCAGAACCTTGTCCCCACACGGACCATGGAACCAAACACACACTATACTTTGTGTACACATCGTCAGTATTTCACGGGTTGGTAGACACAACGTTCCGGCAGCACCGGGTCATGGAAGAACGTGGCGTATATATACCCGCGATGAGTTGACGATGGCGTTACCTCCTTATAACTTGTTCATACCACGAAAAGTAAAATGGGCGTACAGGAATGTAACTAGAATTACCATATCATTGCTTCACAAAGTCATTTTAGCGATAAGATAATTCTAATACTTTTTCATAGAGCTATATTAGACTTAAGGCTAAGATGGTGTTAGGCACACGGTCCATAATAGTCACTGAAGTTGTGCATTCCACTCTCACTCATTAGGGCTTTGAAAACATATGGAAAAATTACTTACATCCATTCCAAGGGCACTGTCGGGTGATTCCGTCTCCCTGACGGAAATACCCGAAGGTGATAGAGGTCTATCGTAATCATCCTTGACAAGTCTGGTTCTATCTCCTTTCTGCTGCTTCCGAAGGTTGAGAAGCATGCGTCGAGTGTAGTCTGGGAAGGTGAACTTGACGCTAGGTGGCGCTTGACCTCTCTCCTCATACTTCTCATCAGTTGCCCGATGTTCGTCGTCTGCTGCGCGACAGTCGATGATGTTCCGCTGGTGGGCATCCATTACTTTCTTGTAGTTGTAGCAGCAGTAGACATAAGCGGCGATGATGAGGCCGAGGAAGACGAAGATGCCTATGACAACGGCTGCGACCCAGTCTAACGAAGCACTTGCTGGCTCCGGTGCAGGAGTTGTTGTTGTCGTGGTGGTGGTGGTGGGCTCATCTACAGACCATTGCCATACATCACGCCATATATCATATGAGGGCGACCATACCATATGAGCTATACTTTGCACACACTCACTCACGCACGCAAACGCGCGCACACACTTCTTGATATATGAATAAATATATAGTCCTCACTGACAGTTGAGGGCTTTTATTCTGAACCAACTCTCGAGGCTTTAATTTTGCTGCCATTCGAAACTTTTTAAAACCAACAGATGCTATAACCATTTTCGTCTTGTCCAAGCAGGATTAGCCTCTATGAGGACTTAAGTTTAGTTTACACAGTAAAAGAATGAATATCAATGGCTGATTTCGCTTTACACATTTGACTTAATTGGCTTCCCAAAATATACTTCAAAACGTTTTCATATAACTGATTGGTGGACGAGTTATCTGCTTTGCAATGTTCCATAGGCAGGATACTTACAGCAGCTGGCTGGAATATAAAGAGAAAATATGTTAATTATTGCATATGCATGTTCTCTATACTGGGATACATGCAGATTTAACATTTTGATAAAATATACAACCACGTATTGACTGTGTAATTAGACACACTGTCTCTGTTTTAAAGTCACTGCACAATATATATGCATATGAAAGAAAAAGAAACAGCATTGTGGTTCCGGGCAGGTGGAAGAGTGTCGTTAAACCGAACACGAAAATGTTAAATCATGAAGATTGAGATGTATAAAATGTTAGCTTTCCACTAACCTGGAATCTATCTATCTATCTATCTATCTATCTATCTATCTATCTATGAGTGTGTGTGACACTCTATATGCGTGTGTGTAATTTAGTTTTCGTTTAATCTTAAAATTTCACTGGAAGATGATATGTTTGGAATTCGTTATCTTTGTAAAATATATGGATAGACTTTTCAGTCAATAAATCTGAAATAGTGTGAAAACTTAAATAATTTTACATACTGACTGTAACAAACATATGAGTTCTGCTAGCGTTAGACACTCGCCAGCTCTTGCATGTTTCCGTAACCACGAATACCTTTCGGCACGTTTTGGAATGATACGAGCTGGTCACGAATGAGAGCGAGACTCACCGTTGAAAGTGAAGACGAGGCTATTGCCAGGGGACTGGACTGATGTGGAAGTCTGGTTGACTTGACACGTTCGGGGATACTGGCTGGCGGAGATAGCCGTGGAGCTGCTTAGATCCAGGACCTGGTAGATTAATAGCGGTAACATAAGGCAAATCATTCAGCCGATCTTTAATCAGGTAGTGTAGGCACTGCACCCATTCTTCATACCGATAAATAAAGTACACGAAAGTGACATGTTGTGCCGTAGTTTAAACTATAACCTATTAATTGGGTAAACTATACACCCTGAAAGAAGTCGAGCCCCTCTTACTATACATTTCCATATTGCAACCGCCATTTTCTGAAAACGTATACTGTATAATATCTATTAGTGCAGAGTGTGTACAAAGTGACACGGATATTTATACAAATAATATTATTTTTCCGAAAAATGATTGAAAATATAATAAATATGCTTCAGACTAAAGACATATCGTTTGCCACAATAAACAATATCCCATACACGGTGAACATTCTATTTTAAAATACAGTCGGGTTCAATCCCGTTATGGTTCCAGTGTGTAAAGACAGTATTGTTTGTCTTAAGACATGTCAAGCTCTGTCTCTCACTTACCAGACATGTGAATCTGTAGGTGCTGGTGTCGTCGACACTGTAGTCGGTGTTGTACGTCGTCAGGTAGGTTGTGGAGCCGGATGTGTGATTGTACAGACAATTGACGGAACCGCCACCTACAACAGTGAGTGAGTGAGTTTGACAACCTGTCAGTATGATGTGATATACACGTTTGCCCTTGTACGAGTGTAACGGTAACGTTCTGACACAAGGATCCGGGTGGAAGTGAAACGGAAATTCAAATACGGATCCACGATTAAGGGACGTAACTCTTCACAAACAATGTGGAGCCATAGGTCTCAGTTCATGCGTGACTCTTAAACAACAATTATTTTTTAATTTTTTCATGAAAAAATAAAGTCTTCCATCATAGCATTCGTTACATAATGACACTTAAGAAATACACTTCGCTCTACCACCATGCCTGAACTATTATAGTTAAAGCACGAGGACGCTTGCGTCCGAGTGCTTTAACGTTATAATAGTTCAGGGCGAAAGTTATTTTATTACACTATACATGGTGGTAGAGCGAAGTGTATTTCTTTCTAAGATGCCAAATTTCATACTTTCTAAAGATAATTACGATTAATTTAAGGCAGAAAACAAACGACGGTGTCGGTGACCTAAATTAAGAATCCTCGCACAGGGCTAACTGGCGCGCTGTTCTATTGATGTGTCTGCCCCTACGTTAAGACGAACGTTACCAGAAAAAAACAAATGATAACAGTTTGATGACGGTTTACGTTCGGATTAAATATCTTCTCTGAATTATTTTAATTACATCTGTCATTAACGTAAACCACATGGGGCAATATGAACGTTGCATTTCTACTACTAGCGTAAGTTTAGATCAGTACATCCAGAGGAAGTTGAGTAGTCAAGCGACATTCCACAATTGCATTGTGGGAATGTAAATATTACGAACGTTACCGTGTCGCTGAAAACTTGTGTGTCGAAATGACACATTTTAACCGTCGTAAAACATAAACGTAATGTTTCCACCAGTGATGTTAGCTGCGTGAAGCAACAGCAAACCAAGAAACTGGATGCAACGGTGTAGTTTACTGTAGGAGGCCGTACGAGGCGATGACAACTGACATGCATCGTGACGTCGCTTACATTGTGACGTAATGTAAAATGGTTCGATTACGAGGGGGCACACTAGAATGGCGCAGTGACGGGATAACGTCATTCAATTGTTACGTCATCAAAAAACTATACCTTTATTGTCTGATAATGTATTTTTTTTCGATTGTTCTAACCGCTAGGCATCTTAGAAATACAAATACATGAATATGATCATCGGCCTCATATCATACATAGCATGTTGTATATGGGTCACAACCAACATATGTTGTATATTGCGCAACTTCCAAAATAAGTTGTATATAATGTTCTTAAACAACAATTAACATCGAGCACATGTACCTGAACTATATAGAGAAACGACCCTGCAAATGTTTTACAGTAATCTTAATTGGTCATTAGATCATTAGTTTCTGTTACATCATCTGGCGTTTTCGTACAGTCAGTCAATTGCAGACGATGTCCTATAAAACAGCTGACGTGGATACATGCGACCTTCCCAGTATCCCACAATCCACACATTCCAAGTATTGTTTTTCATAATTAAAGTGCGGTGGGGTAGCCTAGTAGTTAAAGCGTTCTCTCGTCACGCAAAAGATCCGGGTTCAATGCCCTACATGGTTATAATGTGTGATGAGCATCTCTGGTGTCCCCAGCCGTGATATTGCTTGAATATAGCTAAAAGCGTTGTAAATCCATACTCACTCACACATATTCCAAGTACTCGTTTCCTTTTTTAAAAATGTGTTTCGTTTCCACTTTTTACATAACCCTTATTTCTTCAGAAAACGCATTGTTCTTCTTATTATAACCAATGAATTGTAGATACCCCTACTTTCAATGTACTTGCTAGTTGTACTTAGGGAACAGCTCTTGTTTTTATTTCAAAGTTTCATTTCATAAGTTTTACAAATCTGCTCACTTGAATACATGATGTAAGAGCTGCACAGAGTGTAGTTGAAGGTGAAGGCCGTGGTGTCGAGGCAGCCATTTAGCTGCGTCTCATTGGAAGAACACGTGTCTGCGCTGCCGTTGCTGATGCTGTAGGTCCAGTAGTTCTCGAACTGATAGGGGCAGGCCACTTTGGAGGACGAAATAGTGTCTGAGAAGCAAATTGGATAGATAAAGGGTGAGATAAAATGATGCAAGCAGGTGTACGGGTGTGCGGGTGTTTAGGGAGGTTAGAACGGGTGTCACGTGTATACAGAATCCCCTAAGGTCCGAGCACCAGAGTGACAACAAATGACACCCTTTAACGCGTTCTCATTTATGGCATTTAGAGCATGAAGGGCCATCAGAAATAACTCCACCCAGTTTCTGGGTATAGTACAGACATAATAAAGAAAGACTTTGATCTCTGTGGATCTCTTTTTGAAAGTCCTTGGTAAGCATCCGGAAAATCTGATATGGGCCACTTTTAGGGTTCACACATGCAGTTAACGTACGTATTAATAGCCAAGTACGGAATACGTGTCCGTATCTATGCAATCGCGAGTATTACATTATTTCAATAAATTAAAGTCGATCTGTGTTGTTTAACAGCTGCCTAAACTCACCATTCCTCATCAGGAACCTGTACGTCCCCGTGTCGTAGGAGGACGTAGAACAGATGTCGCTGTAGACGGGGGTGGCGCCGCTGATGTACATCTTAACGTTCTCGCCGCCAGCATCCGACAACGCAGCTGTGGAAATAGACAAAATGTTCGTTCTCGAAATCGCAAAATGTAATATTTATCAAATACTCGAAAGAGTAACTTTGAATTAAATTGGAGCCGTGATACCATTGTAAATTATTTTGTTTGTTTGTTGTTGCCTAACGCCGTATCGTGATATATATTGTTTTCGGTAAGACGAACATATCGAACATCGAACATATCGAAATTCAAGTTGGCTCTCTCTTAAGTTGGATGCATTCTATTTTTGCTTCTAATATATGTTTATCGAGCAAGTACATATGATGAAAGGCGGACGTTCAGTGTATGTGTTATTGAAAAAAGTGAAGGTTTTTGCTCGTGTGGTGGTCGAGAGGGGATATCTATTTCTCGCCTCTCACTTCCGGTGAGAGAGAAATCGCGAGAAACGAAAATGAAATACACATTGGACTCGGATATTTCCATGTATTATAAAGCCAGTTGCCAAGCCTACGATGCATGAAATTTGAAAAGTGTCTTAATGGCAAAAACATTGATCGAAGCGCCTGATTTTTACTGTGGAGATATATTTCCCCATTCTTTCAAGCCTTACTGCACTAAACACTGGAAATATCTTGTAATATCTAGGGGGGAATGAAAACACGGACTGATTCCATGTTTTGAATGTATCCGAGTCAGACCTGTGGATTCGTAAAAGTAGAACTTGTCTGAGGAGATCTCCGTCAGGTCCCAGCACATGTAGGCGTCCCAGCTGAGACTGAAGTAGGAGAAGCTGGTGGCCGACCTGGGGACGGATATATGGTCATGGATATACTGGATATATGTCAACATGTTGTCAGTCACTGATAAACTGGATATGCGTCAACGTGTCGTCAGGCATAGATAAACTGGATATATGTCAACGTGTTGTCAGACACAGATATACAGGATATATGTCAACGTGTCGTCAGGCACAGATATACAGGATATATGTCAACGTGTCGTCAGGCACAGATAAACTGGATATATGTCAACGTGTTGTCAGACACAGATATACAGGATATATGTCAACGTGTCGTCAGGCACAGATAAACTGGATATATGTCAACGTGTCGTCAGACACAGATATACAGGATATATGTCAACGTGTTGTCAGTCACTGATAAACTGGATATATGTCAACGTGTTGTCAGTCACTGATAAACTGGATATGCGTCAACGTGTCGTCAGGCACAGATATACAGGATATATGTCAACGTGTCGTCAGGCACAGATAAACTGGATATATGTCAACGTGTTGTCAGTCACTGATAAACTGGATATGCGTCAACGTGTCGTCAGACACAGATATACAGGATATATGTCAACGTGTCGTCAGGCACAGATATACTGGATATATGTCAACGTGTCGTCAGGCACAGATATACTGTATATATGTCAACGTGTCGTCAGACAGATATACAGGATATATGTCAACGTGTCGTCAGACAGTTATACAGGATATATGTCAACGTGTTGTCAGTCACAGATATACAGGATATATGTCAACGTGTCGTCAGACACAGATATATAGGATATATGTCAACGTGTCGTCAGACACAGATATACAGGATATATGTCAACGTGTTGTCAGTCACTGATAAACGGGATATGCGTCAACGTGTCGTCAGACACAGATATACAGGATATATGTCAACGTGTCGTCAGGCACAGATATACTGGATATATGTCAACGTGTCGTCAGACACAGATATACTGGATATATGTCAACGTGTCGTCAGGCACAGATATACTGGATATATGTCAACGTGTCGTCAGACACAGATATACTGGATATATGTCAACGTGTTGTCAGTCACTGATAAACTGGATATATGTCAACGTGTTGTCAGTCACTGATAAACTGGATATGCGTCAACGTGTCGTCAGACACAGATATACAGGATATATGTCAACGTGTCGTCAGACAGATATACTGGATATATGTCAACGTGGCGTCAGACAGATATGCTGGATATATGTAAACGTCTCGTCAGTCATAGATATACTGGATATATGTCAACGTGTCGTCAGACAGATATACTGGATATATGTCAACGTGTCGTCAGACATATACTGGATATATGTCAACGTGTCGTCAGACGGATATACTGGATATATGTCAACGTGTCGTCAGGCACAGATATACTGGATATATGTCAACGTGTCGTCAGGCACAGATATTCTGGATATATGTCAACGTGTCGTCAGACAGATATGCTGGATATATATTATTCTGTCGCCATAGTTACCTACACACAGAAAATATATAATTATGTCATCATTTCATCATTTTGTAGTGATACATTTTTCACCTTCCACATCAGTTCCACACAACTGAGATCAATAATATAGTTTTACACTTCAGCAGGTATAGATAGAAATGTGTTCACAAATACAACATCAGAACGCTGAGGTTTTGGGGCCGGCTGTGTCGTCTTAGGATCATTAGCCAGTCGGCTTACAAAGACAGCGGATCATGGTATAGTCAACCAGACTAGTTACAGCTGACCGTTGCTCATCTCAAGAAGCACCTCTGCTTAACGAGTAGCCCAGCCTAATAATATCTATAACCATTGCAGAACTAAGGGATCGCATCTCTGCACAGTAAAAGACGAGTAAACTATGGGTGTTCCAAAAGACGGTGATAATTGAGTGTAATTCTAGTCCATGGCGGTGTCGACTTACTTCATAATGTACTGCGTTGAGGAGTACTGGTGGTCGCAGTTGAAGTTGAGAGTACCGAACGTGTGCAGGACGTATGACGTCATCTGACTGGAGGTGAACGACAGTACCCCTTTAACGCTCTCGTCGAAAGTCCCGGATAGATGACTTGGAAACGTACAAGCTGCATCTGAAAATTGGGAAACATGTCTTTTAGTTGTTGGTTGTCAAGTATGATGCCTGGAAACACTACGACGGTTAACTCGGTCTTCGAGACAACGTTATTACACCAGGTGAAGTCTAATGAACAGCAACACGATGTAGTGCATCAACTCATTCTTGTCCGCCATATGCAAATGACGAAAGCGTTTAGAAACTTGTTTGAAAGTTACCGGGTTTGTTTATATGAATTACAAATTTTTGGGACTTATGACGACTATGATACGAGAGAGATATTTTCAGGTATCGTAGCTCTTGAATATAAAGTATACACTTCAAAATTAAATTTGATAACAAAATTACAAACCGTATCCAAAGTAGGCTGAAATGAGTCCCCAAAACACTGCCATTTTAGACATATCAAATACAGCACCATCAGACAACAGTTTCTTGTTTGTTTTGCAACCAACCAAACCGGTTTTTGAACTTCTTACTTTAAGTCGATCTTCTTAAAAATCAAAGTGAGTGAGTATGGTTTTACGCCGTGTTTAGCAATATTCCAATAATATCGCGGCGGGGGACACCAGAAATGGGCTTCAGACATTGTATACATGTGGGGAATCGAACTCGGGTCTTCGGTTTGACGAGCGAACGCTTTAACCACTATGCTACCCCACCAACCCAAAGGATGTCTACATAATGACAGTACATAACATGGAACGTTGCTTAAAGTTACATTCCCTCCATCATTTCGAAAACAGTGCACTGTATGTCCTTCACTGTTTATTAATCAGTCGTAACTTTACGTTCTCATTTCGTCAATAGTTGATTAGAAGCAGACTGCCTGTATATATAAATGTCTTTCATAATGTCTGACACGTTACTTGTCACCCATGTGTCTATCCAGATGATATTAGATATAACAGGAGCACGTCTATGCACTACTACTGTTATATTACTGACAATACTACAGTCGTCAGTTGGTTTATTTCTCACTGTGACGATAACACCCGAACAATAACATCAAAGGAAAGCACGGAAAATGGATAGTCCTGATTTACAGGTGTTCGGATAACTGTTTGCTGATATTCATTGATCATAAATATGGTACTTAACAGAAACCGACCAGTAGATAGAATTTCCAGACGGACAGCTGAACTTAAATATAGAGTTATTTTATATTTGAAAGTAAAATATACCGCTTGAGATTAATAGAGACATAAAATATGCTTGCATTGAATCCAAAGGTTCCATAGCAACAACAGAAATCTCGCCATGAAATATATTGTTTTCGTGGTAGTACATTGCTAAATAATGTAGACCTGTAATTTTAGGGTATATACAATTTGCAATTTCAAATGAATACTTCTCTATATGTGGCCATATATTTTACCATCAGTCAAAATCTTACCTCGTCCAGGAGTAATCACACCAATTACTGCGCACATCAGCAGCACGACCTTCGGCTCCATTTTGTATATTCGCTTATGTCTCTCAGGTTAAACCTTATCCATTACTTGTTCAGCTTTAACTAGTCTTGTCCACAAGTCTTTAATGTACAACACCAAGTTCAATATACGTCATCAGTCTAATAAACTTGTCCATGTGCTTCCATCGTATACACTTCCAGTTCTTCCAGGATATCAGAAAGTTTTTACGGTGCGATACTGTCTATATCACACTGTTGCTGATATTGTCTGCATCACACTGGTCATCCTGGGGTCAGTTGTTGCCCATGTCACTGCCCCCTGAGGCAAACAGTTTGTTTCTAAGGGTGTCCTCCCAATCCTTCACCCTCGCGAAGCCGATAGGTGTGTGATTAAAGCCTGGCCGCTCTGCTGCCTAGACTGAAGCCCAGTCTCAGCCTAATCCATAACACTGGTTTTAACGTAATCTGATTGGGCTCATACGTAGCGCTATATTGTTAAGGTGATTGTATTAGCACTCTGAAAATGGCAGATTTGGGACACTTATACGTAGGTACAATTATACTCCTCAGAAACCGATTGAGTATGGTATTCGAAAAGGTTGCATAATTATATGCAACCATCGTAATTATTGATTACATGTACGCAGGAGTTTATTGTAGGAAATGAAACCACTGGACTTGTCTTTGTAATTAACATTGTTGATAAAACTAAAACTGCCGGGCAAAGAGTAGTATACACTTGAAAAACTACGAACATTATCAAAACGTTACAAGGTTGAAAACTGTCGCCGAACCACTAAAATCATAAGGTAAAAAACACAACTATCATATCTGTATCGCCACCGTCAAAGTAGGGCGTGTAATGGCC